CCAACCAACCTCTGCAACTTCTCTTCAGAATCCCCAAAAAGCACAGCGTCATCACCAAAGAGCAACTGTGACAACTCCCATTTTGTGTTAGATTCTTTATCTTTTAACTCCACACATCTTCCCTACACCTGAGCATTCACTTCTCTTACAACTCCATCTATAAATATATTGAACAACCATGGTGACATCACACATCCCTGTCTTAGGCCTACTTTTACTTGAAAATAATCTCCCTCTCGCCTACAAACTCTAACCTGAGCCTCACTATCCTTGTAAAAACTTTTCACCACTTTCAAAAACCTACCTCCTATTCTGTACATTGGCAACATCTGCCACACTGCCCACCTATCCAACATAACATATGCCTTTTCCAAACCCATAAATGCCACAAATTCCTCTTTACCCTTATCTAAATATTGTTCACCTATACGTTTCACTGGAAACACTTGGTCTACACACCCCCTACTCTTCCTAAAGCCTCCTTGTTCATTTGCTATCCTGCTCTCTGTATTGCTCTTAATTCTTTCAATAATAACTCTACCACACACTTTACCAGGTATACTCAACAGACTTTTCTTTCTTTTAACAAACCGGCCATATCCCACCAGGGCAGGGTGGCCCAAAAAGAAAAACGAAAGTTTTTCTTTTTAAATTTAATAATTTGTACAGGAAAAGGGGTTACTAGCCCTTTGCTCCCGGCATTTTAGTCGCCTCTTACAACACGCATGGCTTACGGAGGAAGAATTCTGTTCTACTTCCCCATGGAGATAAGAGGAAATAAACAAGAACAAGCACTAGAAAGAAAATAGAAAAAAACCCAGAGGGGTGTGTATATATATACACCTATCATCCACCTTACGATCGAGTTCAGTTCTGAGAAACCGGTCGTAAGTCGAAATGGTCGTAAGTCGAAATGGTCGTAAGTCGAAATGGTCGTAAGTCGAACTTTACTACTGAATATCAACAAAACATTTTTGTAATGACTTTATTTTATTGTTTTATTTTGGTATTTCATGTTTTACTTTACTTTGTATGCTGTTAGTACTGTATTTTATACTGTAAGGTTTAGGATAAACACTGTGTACAACACAAATAGTTGTTTATTTCCCAGAAATTTGGCATAAAAATCACAGTCGTAAGTCGAGTGGTCGTAAGTCGAAAAAGTCATAAGTCGGATGGTAGGTGTATATGCTTGTATACATGTATGTGTAGTGTGACCTAAGTGTAAGAAGTAGCAAGACGTACCTGAAATCTTGCATGTTTATGAGACAGAAAAAAGACACCAGCAATCCTACCAACATGTAAAACAATTACAGGCTTTCGTTTTACACTCATTTGGCAGGACGGTAGTACCTCCCTGGGCGGTTGCTGTCTACCAACCTACTACCTATAACTCAACAGACTTATTCCCCTATAATTTTTACACTCTCTTTTGTCCCCTCTGCCTTTATACAAAGGAACTATGCATGCTCTCTGTTAATCCCAAGGTACCTTACCCATTTCTATACATTTATTAAATAAAAACACTAACCACTCCAAAATTATATCCCCCACATGCCTTTAACATTTCTATATTTATGCCATCAATCCCAGCTGCTTTACCCCCTTTCATTCTACTAACTGCCCCATGCACCTCCCCCACACTCACAACTGGTTCTTCCTCACTCTAATGTTATTCCTCCTTGCGCTATACACAAAATCACAGCTTCCCTATCTTCATAAACATTTAACAGTTCCTCAAAATATTCCCTCTATCTTCCCAATACCTCTAACTTTCCATTTAACCTTAAATGGTAAACTTATATGTATATATGTATACGTTCACTCGTGCAGGGTCCTGAATACATATTTTGAAAAAAAAAAAAATCTTTTTTTTTTTCATAGAAAAAAAGAGCAAATTTTTTAAGTGTTTTAGAATAAAAAAAAATTAGGGTCAGTACTTACAGAGATATGAGGCAGAGAAGTTGGCACTGGATGCTCATGTGACTGCAACATGGAATCTTGCTGCTTGCAGAAGTGTTGCCGATATACCTTTTTTACTATTTTCATATTATTTTATATAATTTTCATGTTCTGATAATTACAATTTATAGTAGTTCTTGTCATTTAATAACCAACCTTTGTTCTGACAATAGTATTAGGTACTGAAATTGTACTCAAATTGTCACAAACACATTGACAGGTGGACATTTACACCTGCCTTGGTCATTTACTATTGTCTTGGAATATACAACCTGTCAGTATTGTATACCATTTTGATGTTCATCTTGTCAGATGCTGCAACACGTGGCATCTTGGTACAGAAAACACCTTGGACAACCTTTTCAAGTAATAATTGTTGGATCTGGGAGGGACATGAACTCTCAGTGGCTACATTCTCACTACTACTACTACTACTACTCTGCACCTCTCCTTCTGGCAGTATTTAAGTCTCTGCACTGTCGCTTGATCTTCAGATAGTTCCTGACTATGGAACTGAACTTCTCCAGGCTAAGGGACTGACAACCTCAAATTCTACGACTTCAAGGGTGATGGACTGATTACATCGTCTTCACATCTCTACTGTTCCTGCCTACTTTCTGTATTCGACTGAAGAAGCCTACAGTGTAGGCGAAACGTTTCAGAATAAAGTTGCCTAACTGTTGCATATGTGTCTTACCTAATATCCTCTTTTTCTTAAAATACGTGTTATCTATAACAAAACCCCTTTGTATACAAAGTTCAAGCAAACGCTCCCCATTATCATTTACACCTGGCACCCCAAACTTACCTACCACACCCTCTCTAAATGCTTCTCCTATTTTAGCATTTAGGTCCCTTACCACAATTACTCTTTCACTTAGCTCAAAAGTTCCTACACACTCACTAAACATCTCCTAAAATCTCTCTCTCTCCTCTACACTCCTCTCTTCCCCAGGTATATACACACTTATCATGACCCACTATTCACATCCAACCCTTATTTTAATCCACATATCCCTTGAATGTATACATGTATATTCCCTCTTCTCTCTCCATAACTGATCCTTCAACATTATTGCTACCCCTTCCTTTGCTATATCTGTCAGATACTAGTGACTTAATCCCATTTATTTCTCCCCACTGAAACTCGCCTACCCTTCCAACTTTGTTTTGCCTAGGGCTATGACGTCCAACTTCTTTTCATTCATAAGATTAGCAATCATCTTTTTCTTATCATCTGCACTACATCCATGCACATTCAAACATCCCAATTTTATAAAGTTTGTCTTTTCCTTGTTTTTAGTAATTTATACAGGAGAAGGGGTTACTAGCCCACTGCTCCAGGCATTTAGTTGCCTCTTATGACACACACAGCTTACGGAGGAAGAATTCTGTTCCACTTCCACATGGAGAGAAGAGGAAATAAACAAGAACATGAGCTAGTAAGAAAACAGAAGAAAACCCAGAGGGGTTAGTATATATATGCTTGTACATGCATGTGTAGTGTGACCTAAGTGTAAGTAGAAGTAGCAAGACATACTTGCAACCTTGTGTGTTTATGAGACAGAAAAAGAAACCAGCACTCCTACCATCATGCAAAACAATTACAGGCTTATGTTTCACACTTATCTGATAGGACAGTAGTACCTCCCTGGGTGGTTGCTGTCTACTTATCCTATTTTATAAAACATGAATCCAATACAAAGTGCAAGTTGTCACCAATGCTCTTTGCTGATGACACAGCTCTTTTGGGGGATTCTGAAGAAAAGTTGCAAAGGTTGGTGGATGATTTTTGGGAAAGTGAGTAAAAGAAGGAAATTAAAAGTGAACATAATACACTAGGAGAAAACAGGTGGATGGTACACTGATGTAACTGTGGTAACAACAAACTCTATCCATGGAGGCAAGAAAGGGAATGTACTAGAGTGCAGTGATATGAACACTGAGGCTTTCACCTCTACTTTTGAACGCTACCGCAAAAGCTGACATCATTCGTATTTTGCTTTTTACCCTTTGTTTTGGTCGTATATATACGTCTTACAAGCCACCATTTTTGACATATATATACTCATAAATTCTAGTGGCTTCAAATCAAGCAGGAGAAAGCTGGTAGGCCCACATGTGATTGAATGGGTCTGTGTGGTCAGTGTGCACCATATAAAAAAAATCCTGGAGCACTCAGTGCATGAGAAAAAAAAACTCCAACTGTTTTAATTAAAATGCCGACTTTGTGGTCTATTTTCATAGAGTAGTTATGGTTGTATTCTCGTTTTCTTGGTCTCATTTGACAGAATGGAAAACATATTATAGAAATAGAGGTGATTTTGATTGGTTTTACTATAAAAGAACCTAGAAATGGAACTCAAAGTAGAGGAAATGTTTGATTTTTGCTGATGTTCAAAAGTAAACAAATGATGTCATTGTCTTGCTTTCTATTTTAAATAAAAATTCAAAATAGAAAGCAAGAGTAATATCAGAGGGGCCTGGAGACATGACTGATGAACAAAGAAAATGTTATTTCAGAGCCAGGAATGTCTGCTTTGTTCATTCTGGACCCTATTTTGAATTTGTCATATTTTTTAATTTTTGTGAAATTGGCCAAATTGCAAATTTCTGACCATGTTATTGGGTAGTTGAAATCAGTAAATGGGCAGTTTCATGTACTCAATCGATAGAAAAAAATGGAGTTCTAAAGAAATAGATATAAGTTTGGTAGACTGGAACAATGGAATTAGCGGAAAATAGTGCTCAAAGTGGACGAAATCACCAATTCATAAATATCTCCGAGGTCACTAACTTTGCGAGAGCGTAATTCCATCAGTTTTTCATCAAATTTCATTCTTTTGGTGTCATTACAATTGGGAAAAGATTCTCTATCATTTCATAAAATTTTTTTTTTTTTTTTTTTAAATTTTCCAACACCAGGAGACACCTCAGGATTCAGGGTTGCGACAGTCAAAATATATTAGCTAGTTTCCTACACTGTAAGCAAACATCATATTATTGCAATATCTAAGAATTTTTTTATACAATTTTACCTGGTCTCAATTAGAATGTCTTTGTTTTTCTCACTGAAGACACTTTTACAAATAAGTTCTTGTGTCCGTGGGATGGCCTGGTTATTGGAAATACACAAAACCTGAAAATTACCAGATTATTAATTCATAGCTGTAAATTCGACAGTTGCATCTTATAAGACATTTCAGAGAAGGTCACATTTTATATTTAAAATGCAAAGTTTGAACTTATACTTTTACTATTTTATATTAGCTACTTTAACACCTACAAAAACACTGGATGAAATATGGAGTATGAAATACTGTACAAATTTTCTTAGTTATGATGTTAATACATTGAAAAATTCATCTAGTTAGGAAAATATATTCAGAGAAAATTGTTATATTATTACCTCAACCACAACAAAAATAAAGCAGTCTAATAGGATGCTTGATTCACTCAGCTCTGCTGGTTCTGGGTTCATGACCATTATAATGAAGCTATAACAAGGTGAACTAAGTTTAAAAAAAAAATTACCAGTGCAAGAAATATATAAAAAACAAGCAATAGGTTATGAATGAAAAGAATCTGGATGTCCTAGACCTAAGCGAAACAAAGCTGAAGGGGGTAGGGGAGTTTCAGTGGGGAGAAATAAATGGAATCAAGTCAGGAGTATCTAAGAGAGTTAGAGCTAAGGAAGGAGTAGCAATATTGTTGAAGGATCAGTTATGGAAAGAGAAGAGGGAATATAAATGTATAAATTCAAGGATTATGTGGATTAAAATAAGGGATGGATGTGAGAAGTGGGTCATAATAAGTGTGTATGCACCTGGAGAAGAGAGGAGTATAGAGGACAGAGAGACAGAGATTTTGGGAGATGTATAGCAAATGTGTAAGAACTTTTGAGCCAAGTGAAAGAGTAACTGTGGTAGGGGGCCTAAATGCTAAAGTAGGAGAATAATTTAGAGAGGGTGTGGTAGGTAAGTTTGAGGTGCCAGGTGTAAATGATAATGGGAAGCATTTGATCGAACTTTGTATAGAGAGGGGGTTTGGTTATAGGTAACACATTTTAAGAAAGAGAGGATAAATAAATATACAAGATACGATGCAGGGCAAAATGACAGTACAGTAGTTTGCTGGACTATGTATTAGTAGATAAAAGACTGTTTGGTAGACTTCAGGATGTACATGTTTATAGAGGGGCCACAGATATATCAGATCACTTTTTAGTTGTAGCTACAATGAGAGTAAAAGATAGATGAGATACAAGGAAAATGGAAGCAGCAAGTAAGAGAGAAGTGAAGGTTTATAAACTAACAGAAGAGGGAGTATGGGTAAGATATAAACAACACTGGAGGACAGATGGGCTAGTGAGAACATAGGCAATGGGGTAGATGATGTATGGATAAGTTTAAGAATATAGTGTTAGAGTGTTCAGCAGAAGTTTGTAGTTACAGGAAAGTGGATACAGGAGGGAAGAAGAGTGACTGGTGGATGGATGATGTGAAAGAGTAGTAAGAGAAAAAGTTAGCATATGAGAGGTTTTTACAAAGCAGAAGTGATGCAAGGAGGGAGGAGTATTTGGAGAGAAAAAGAGAGGTTAAAAGAGTGGTGATGCAATGTAAAAAGAGAACAAATGAGAAAGTGAGTGAGATGTTATCAAAAAATTTTGCTGAAAATAAGAAAAAGTTTTGCAGCGAGATTAGTAAGTTGAGAAAGCCTAGGGAAAGAATGGATTTGTTAGTTAAATATAGGAGAGGAGAGTTATTAAATGGAGAGTTAGAGGTATCAGGATGATGGAGGGAATATCTTGAGGAATTGTTAAATGTTGATGAAGATACGGATGCTGCAATTTCATGTATGGGGCAAGGAGGAATAACATCTTATAGGAGTGAGGAAGAACCAGTTGTGAGTGTGGGGAAAGTGCGTGGGGAAGTAGGTAGAATGAAAGGGGGTAAAGCAGCTGGGATTGATGTGATAAAGATAGAAATCTTAACAGCAGGTGGGGATACAGCTTTTGAGTGGTTAGTCGGTGGGAGACGGCCGACTTGTTGAAAAAAAAAAAAATGTATGGAAGAGGGAAAGGTACCTAGGGATTAGCAGAGAGCATGCATAGTTCCTTTGCATAAAGGCAAAGGGGACAAAATAGTGTAAAAATTATAGGGGAATAAGTCTGGTGAGTATACCTGGTAAAGTGTATAGTAGAGTTATTACTGATAGAATTGTGAGTAAGATGGAGAGCAGGATAGCAGATAAACAAGGAGGCTTTAGGAAAGGTAGGGGGTGTGTAGAACAAGTATTTGCAGTGAAACACATAGTTAAACAGTATTCAGAAAAGGGCAATGAGGTTTTTGCGGCATTTATGGATTTGGAAAAGGAATATGACAGGGTGGATAGGGGAGCAATGTGGCAGATGTTGCAAATGTATGGAAGAGGAGGTAGGTTTTTGAAAGTGGTGAAAAGTTTTTACGAGGATAGTGAGGCTCAGGTTAGAGTATGTAGGTGAGAGGGAGAATATTTCCAATTAAAAGTAGGCCTAAGACAGGGATGTGTGATGTCACCATGGTTATTCAATATATTTATACTAGATGGAGTTGTAAGAGAAGTGAATGCTCAGGTGTAGGGAAGAGGTGTGGGGTTAAAAGATAAAGAATCTAACACAACACAGGAGTTGTCACAGTTGCTCTTTAGTGATGACACTGTGCTTTTTGGGGATTCTGAAGAGAAGTTGCAGAGGTTGGTTGATGAGTTTGGTAGTGTATGTAAAAGAAGGAAATTAAAAGTGAACACAGAAATGAGTAAGGTGATAAGGATAACAAAAAAAAATTAGGTAATGGAAGATTGGATATCAGATTGGAGGGAGAGAGTATGGAGGTGAATGTGTTCAGATATTTGGGAGTGGTCGTGTCAGCAGATGGGTCTATGAAGGATGAGGTGAATCACAGAACTGCTGAGGGGAAAAAGGTGAGTGGTGCACTGAGGAGTGTCTGGAAACAAAGAACTTTATTCATGAAAGCAAAGAGGGGAATGTATAGAGTATAGCTATACCAATGCTCTTGTATGGGTGTGAGGCACAGGTTGTGAATGTTGCAACAAGGAGAAAGCTGGAGGCAGTGGAGATGTCATGTCTGAGGGCAATGTGTGGTGTGAATTTAATGCAGAGAATCCATAGTTTGGAGATTAGGAGGAGGTGTAGGATTAACAAAACTATTATCCAGAGGGATGAGGAGGGGTTACTGAGATGGATTGGACATGTAGAGAGGACAGAAGAAAATTGAATGACTACGAGAGTATACAAATCTGTAGTGGAGGAAGGCAGGGTAGGGGTTGGCCTAGGAAAGGTTGGAGGGAGGGGGTAAAGGATGTTTTGTGTGCAAGGGGCTTGGACTTCCAGCAAGCATGTGTGAAGAGATTCAGGATAGCTGGACTTGAGTCCTGGAAATGGGAAGTACAATACCTGCACTTTAAAAGAGGGGTTTGGGATATTGAAAGTTTGGAGCGACATCTAAACTGTTGTATCTGAGTGCCTCTACAAAGACAGCGATTATGTATGAGTGATGATTAAAGTGTTAAATGATGATGAAATTTTGTTTCTTTTTGGGTTTTTTCTTTCTTTTTGGGTCACCCTGCCTCGGCAGGAAACAGCAAACATTAAAAAAAAAAAAAAATTGGCAATCTCCCACTGAGGCAAGGTGACCTAAACAGAAAAACAAAAGTTTTTCTATTAACATTTAGTAATTTACACATGAGAAGGGGTTACCAGCCTCTTCCTCCCAGAGTCACCTTTTACAACATGCATGGCTTATGAAGGAAGAATTCCTCTCCACTTCCTCATGTAGAAAATATTGATTTTCCAAGAAAGAAAAAATTGTGAAGTTTAGAACTTACCTTGAGATAATCCAGGAATCTCCAATCCCATTTGTGCATATTTTTCCTAACAAGTCCAACAAACGTTTCAATTTCAGTGGCAGTAATATGAATCTCGAGTAGTTTGCGATTATTGTGAAGCAGAGCTGTGATAGTTTCTTCTGCCAATATATCGATGCCAATTTGCTTCTGCATGAAACCGAAGTGTTGAGCAATGTGTTCCTGTAAATGATTTTAGACAGAAATTTAACATTAACCCATTAACCAATTTTTGTTTTTCAACATGTCAGCCACTTCCCACCAAGGCAGGGTGACCCAAAAAGAAAAAAAAAAAAAAAAACAGAAAGAGAAAACTTTCATCACCATTCAACACTTTCACCATCACTCATACATAATCACTGTCTTTGTAGAGGCGCTCCGACACAACAGTTTAGACATCCCTCCAAACTGCCAACACCCTAAACCCCTCCTTTAAAGTGCAGGCATTGAACTTCCCATTCCCAGGACTCAAGTCCAGCTAACCAGTTTTCCTGAATCCCTTAATATTACCCTGCCCACACTCCAACAACGCGTCAAGTCCCTAAAACCATTCACTCCTATCTGCACCACCCTGATGTGTGTAAACATACTTTAATGATTTTATTACACTTTGATCAAGTGGTTGCATCAGTGATGTCATATTTGGTAGTAAAAAATAATTTTATGGGTTCGAATTTAGTAAAACGTCAGGACGAGTATGGGAATTTTCAGGTCAGGAAAGTCTTGAATGCAAGGTTTTTGCATCACAGGAAAAACGTTTATTTATTTATTAACATATCGGCCGTTTCCTATCAAGGCACAGTAGCCTGAGAAAGAAAAACTTTCATCACCATTCACTCCATCACTCTCTTGCCAGAGGTATACATACACTACAATTATAAAACTACAACATTAACACCCCTCTTTCAAAGTGCAGACACTGTACTTCCCATCTCTAGGACTCAAATCCAGTCTGCGGGTTTCCCTGAATCCCTTCATAAATGATACCTTGCTTACACTCCAACAGCATGCCAAGTCCTAAAAACCATTCGTCTCCATTTGCTCCTGTCTAACATGATCATGCATTGAACAACCATGGTGACATCACACATCCCTGTCTAAGGCCTACTTTTACTGGGAAATAATCTCCTTCTCGCCTACATACTCTAACCTGAGCCTCACTATCCTCGTAAAAACTTTTCACCGCTTTCAATAATAAGTGTTTACATTGAAGCATATATGTTAATAGTATTTAGATAAAGTTAGGGAAGTTTTCACTGTATTTATGGATTTAGAAAATTCATTATAGAGTGGATAGAGGAGCAATGTGGCAGACATTGCAAGTATATGGAATAGGTAGTAAGTTACTAAATGCTGTAAAAAAATTTTATGAGGCTCAGGTTAGGGTGTGTAGAAGAGAGGGAGATCACTTCCCAGTAAAAGTAGGTTTTAGACAAGGATGTGTAATGTCACCATGGTTGTTTAATATATTTATAGATGGGGTTGTGAAGGAGGTAAATGCTAGGGTGTTGGGGAGAGGGGTGGGATTAAATTATGGGAAATCAAATACAAAATGGGAATTGACACAGTTACTTTTTGCTGGTGATACTGTGCTTATGTGAGATTCTATAAAAATGTTGAAAAGGTTAGTGAACAAGTTTGGGAGGGTGTGTAAAGGTAGAAATTTGAAAGTGAACATAGATAAGAGTAAGGTGATGAGGGGTACCAAATGATTTAGATAAAGAAAAATTGGATATCACATTGGAGAGAGGGAGTATGGAAGAAGTGAATGTTTTCAGATATTTGGGAGTTGACGTGTCAGCGGATGGGTTTGTGAAGGACGAGGTTAACCGTAAAATTGACGAAGGAAAAAAGGCGAGTGGAGCGTTGAGGTATAAGTTTTTTATTTTTTGTTGTTGTGTTTTTAACAAGATGGCCATCTCCCACCGAGGCAGGTTGACCCAAAAAGAAAGAAAATCCCCAAAAAGAAAATTACTTTCATCATCATTCAACACTTTCACCTCACTTGCACATAATCACTGTTTTTACAGAGGTGCTCAGAACACAACAGTTTAGAAGCATATACGTATTAAGATACACAACATATCCCTGCTAATATCCCGAACCCCTCCTTTAGAGTGCAGGCATTGTACTGTACTTCCCATTTCCAGGACTCAAGTCCGGCTATACAAAAATAACCGGTTTCCCTGAATCCCTTCACTAAATATTACCCTGCTCACACTCCAACAGATCGTCAGGTCCCAAATACCATTCGTCTCCATTCACTCCCATTGAACACGCTCAAGCACACCTGCTGGAAGTCCAAACCCCTCACCCACAAAACCTCCCTTACCCCTTCCTTCCAACCTTTTCAAGGACGACTCCTACCCAGCCTTCCTTCTCCTACAGACTTATACGCTCTCCATGTCATTCTACTTTGATCCATTCTCTCTAAATGACCAAACCACCTCAACAACCCCTTTTCAGACCTCTGACTAATACTTTTATTAACTCCACACCTTCTCCTAATTTCCACACTCCGAATTTTCTACATAATATTTACACCACACATTGCCCTTAGACAGGGCATCTCAAATGCCTCCAATTGCCTCCTTGCTGCAGCATTTACAACCCAAGCTTCACACCCATATAAGAGTGTTGGTACTACTATACTTTCATACATTCCCTTCTTTGCCTCCAAATATAACATTTTTTGTCTCCACATATACCTCAATGCACCACTTACTTTTTTCCTTCATCAATCCTATGATTAACCTCATCCTTCATAAATCCATCTGCTGACACGTCAACTTCCAAACATCTGAAAACATTCACTTCTTCCATACTTCTCCTCCCCAATTTGATATCCAATTTTTCTTTATCTAAATCATTTGATACTCTCATCACCTAACTCTTTTCTATGTTCACTTTCAGCTTTCTACCTTTACACACACTCCCAAATTCGTCCACTAACCTTTGCAACTTTTCTTTAAAATCTCCCATAAGCACAGTATCATCAGCAAAAAGTAACTGTGTCACTTCCCATTTTGTATTTAATTCCCCATAATTTAATCCCACCCCTCCCCTGAACACCCTAGCATTTACTTCTTTTACAACCCCATCTACAAATATATTAAACAACCATAGTGACATTACACATCCCTGTCTAAGACCTACTTTTACCGGGAAGTAGTCTCCCTCTCTTCTACACACCCTAACCTGAGCCTCACTATCCTCATAAAAACTCTTTACAGCATTTAGTAACTTACCACCTATTCCATATACTTACAACATCTGCCACATTGTGTCATTATCCACTCAATCATATGCCTTTTCTAAATCCATAAATGCAATAAAAACTTCCCTACCTTTATCTAAATACTGTTCAGATATATGCTTCAATGTAAATACTTGATCTACACATCCCTTACCCACTCTAAAACCTCCTTGCTCATCTGCAATTCTACATTTATTAAACAAAAATACCAACCACTCCAGCACTATGTCCCCCGCTGCTTTTAACATTTCTGTCATGATCCCGTCAGTTCCAGCTGCTTTACCCCCTTTCATTCTACGTAATGCCTCACGCACCTCCCCCACACTCACATCCTGCTCTTCTTTATTCCTAAAAGATGGAATACCTCCCTAGCGAGTGCATAAAATTACCGCCTCCCTTTGTTCCTCAACATTTAAAAGTTCCTCAAAATATTCTCACCATCTACCCAAAACCTCCATCTCCCCATCTACTAACTCCCCTACTCTGTTTTTAACTGACAAATCCATTTGCTCCCTAGGCTTTCTTAACTTGTTTAGCTCACTCCAAAATTTCTTCTTATTTTCATTAAAATTTCTTGACAGTACCTCTCCCATTCTATCATCCGCTCTCCTTTTGCACTCTCTCACCACTCTCTTCACCTTTCGTTTACTCTCCATATACTCTACTCTTCTTATAACACTTCTGCTTTGCAAATACCTCTCATAAGCTACCTTTTTCTCTTTTATCACACCCTTTACTTCATCATTCCACCAATCACTCCTCTTTCCTCCTGCCCCCACCCTCCTATAGCCACAAACTTCTGTCCCACATTCTAATACTGCATTTTTAAAACTATTCAAACCCTCTTCAACCCCCCCACTACTCATACCTGTACCAGCCCACCTTTCTGCCAATAGTTGCTTATATTTCACCCGAATATCCTCCTCCCTTAGTTTATACACTTTCGCCTCCCTCTTACTTGTTGTTATCCCATCTACCTCTTACTCTAACTGTTGCTACAAGTAGATAATGATCCAATATATCAGTTGCCCCTCTACAAACGTGTACATTCTGGAGCCTACCCATCCACGGATACATAATCTAGCAAACTACTTTCATTACGTGCTACATCATACCTTGTATATTTATTTATCCTCCTTTTCATAAAATATGTATTACTTATAACCAAACCTCTTTCTACACATAGCTCAATTAAAGGCTCCCCATTTTCATTTACCCCTGGCACCCCAAATTTACCTACTCCCTCCACAACATTTCTACCCACTTTAGCATTAAAATCCCCAAACACAAGTACTCTCACACTTGGTTCAAAACTCCACACGCATTCACTCAACATTTCCCAAAATCTCTCTCTTTCCTCTATATGTCTCTCTTCTCCAGGTGCATATATAACCCACTTTTCACATCCAACCTTAATTTTACTCTACATAATCCTTGAATTAATACATTTATAGTCCCTCTTTTCCTGCCATAGCTTATCCTTCAACATTATTGCTACTCCTTCTTTAGCTCTAACTCAATTAGAAACCCCTGACCTAATCCCATTTATTCCTCTCCACTGAAACTCACCCAGCCCCTTCAGCTTTGTTACACTTAAAGCCAGGACATCCAGCTTCTTCTCATTCATAACATCCACAATCATCTCTTTCTTATCATTCGCACAACATCCACACACATTCTGACTTCCCACTTTGACAATTTTCTTCTTATTCTTTTTAGTAATTATTACAGGAAAAGGGGTTACTAACCCATTGTTCCCGGCATTTTAGTTGACTTTTATAATACGCAAGGCTTACGGAGGAAAGATTCTTATTCCACTTTCCCATGGATATAACAGGAAAAGTAATAAGAACAAGAACTAAGATAAAATCAAAGAAAACTCAGATGAGTGTGTATAAATAAACATGTACATGTATGTTTAGTGTGACCTAAGTTTAAGTACAAGTAGCAAGACGTACCTGCAATCTTGCATATTTATGAGATAGACAAAACACACCAGCAATCCTACCATCATGTAAAACAATTACAGGCTTTCGTTTTACACTCGCTTGGCAGGACGGTAGTAACTCCCTGGGTGGTTGCTGTCTACCAGCCAACTACCTAAGTCAACAGAGTTATTCCCCTATAATTTTTACACTCTCTTTTGTCTCCTTTGCCTTTATGCAAAGGAGCTATGCATGCTCTCTGCCAATCCCTAGGTACCTTACCCTCTTCCATACATTTATTAAATAAAAACACTAACCACTCCAAAACTATATCCCCACCTGCTTTTAACATTTCTATCTTTATGCCATCAATCCCAGCTGCCTTAACCCCTTTCATTCTACTCGCTGCCTCACACACTTCCCGCACACTCACAACTGGTTCTTCCTCACTCCTATAAGATGTTATTCCTCCTTGCCCTATACACGAAATGAAAGCTTCCCTATCTTCATCAACATTTAACAATTCCTCAAAATATTCCCTCCATCTTCCTGATACCTCTAACTCTCCATTTAATAACTCTCCTCTCCTATTTTTAACTAAGATAAGATAAGATAAGATTTCGTTCAGATTTTTAACTCCGGAGGGTTAGCCACCCAGGATAACCCAAGAAAGTCAGTGCGTCATCGAGGACTGTCTAACTTATTTCCATTGGGGTCCTCAATCTTGTCCCCCAAGATGTGACCCACACCAGTTGACTAACACCCAGGTACCTATTTGCTGCTAGGTGAACAGGACAACAGGTGTAAGGAAACGCGTCGAAATGTTTCCACCCGTCGGGAATCGAACCCGGGCCCTCCGTGTGTGAAGCAGGAGCTTTAGCCACCAGGCCACCACCTAGGCTTTCAGGAATAAAATAAGGCTTGAACCAATCAACAAATAATTCTTCTGTCATCAGTCCTGACTGGTTTGGCAGCTAGATGACAGGATAAGTGGTTTTGTCTTTCTGTTTTAGGGAACAGAGATTTTTGACCGATAAACAAGCATGGGTCTGCACTTAGTCACCTGTTGCATTAGCGCACAGAAGCAAGCTGAAATGATCCTTTGCTGGCTTGAAGCCACAAGCACCTTTCTTCCTTGCTTGCTGATGTAAGTTCTAGAAGGTATCTTCCAGAAAAATTCTCTCTCATCAGCAATAAACACTTGCTCAGGTGCACAGTCACCCTTGGAAATCATTTTCTGCAACTCGCCAGGAAAATTCTCTGCCACGAAGGCTGACTATGTCAAAGTGTAAGATGGAAACAGGTAAAGCTGCTCTGAAAGGTGCCAATCTTTGGGGCAAAGGACAGAAATATATACAAAAAATAAATTGTGAACAGATGAAAATGTAGTACATTGAGGCATGAAAAGTGGTACTCTACTGTAGTTGACCCTTAAATGGTCCAAACGTATATATATGTTTTTTCAACATTTGAAAGTATGTAAAAAAATGTACCTCATCTCTTGTTTTTTTTACATTTGAAAATGTGTAAAAAAACATAGATCTACTTTTGGAGCACTACCAATATGAACGTCGATCTATTTGGACCGTTTAAGGATTAAAATCCAGATACAAGTTTAAACTGTAATCAGAAACAAACATTGCTCCTCTGCATAATTAGAAAATGGGATTACAGGGCTATCGATCATCTAACCTTGACTGGAGACAACCAAGGCCTTAAATAATTAAAATTTAAAAAGAATACACTGTACATATTTATATATGATGCTCCATAAAATCTCACCTGGTTTTTTCTGTAACCTTGTTGAGCAAGTCTTAAAAGCCTATAACAAAGACGAAAAATAGTTTTGTATGCCGAGTGACGTGGATCATTCAACTCGTCAATCCGGAGAAGAGGCCCATCGCCTCCCTGAGTCTCCGTGAATGGTGCTTGAAGAATCTTGAATATCTGTAACAGAAAATCAATTATTTAAAATTATTTTTAAATTTTAAGGTATAAGAAAGGTGATTTTAATTCCTAAGTTTACCTGTAATTTTTGCCAGTGATCATGTCTGAAGCTTTCTGTTACTTCCCCACTTTCTTACCCTTCTCTAACGAATGCCTCCAATAGCTTTCTTTTTCCTTTCTACTGTAACTTTCCTTCTTCCCTTTCCACATTCCATCTTAGATTGTTTCTTCTTTGTTTTGATTTTATTTTTTACCTAAAGCACCAGAACTCCCACATGAAGCACCGCAACTCTCACTTGGAGTGCCACAACTCCCACATGAAGCACCACAACTCCCACATGGAGTGCCACAACTCCCACATGGAGTACCACAACTCCCACATGGAGTGCCACAACTCCCACATGGAGTGCCACAACTCCCACATGGAGTGCCACAACTCCCACATGGAGTGCCACAACTCCCACATGGAGTGCCACAACTCCCCCATGGAGTGCCACAACTCCCACATGGAGTGCCACAACTCCCACATGGAGTGCCACAACTCCCACATGGAGTGCCACAACTCCCACATGGAGTGACAGCTTCCACATGGAGCTCCACAACTCCCACATGGAGCACCACAACTCCCACATGGAGCACCACAACTCCTACATGGAGCACCACAACTCCCACATGGAGGACCACATCTTCCACATGGAGCACCATAATTCCCACATGGTGCACCACAACTCCCACATGGAGCACCACATCTCCCAAATGGAGCACCACAACTCCCACATGGAGTACCACAACTCCCACATGGAGCCTCACATATTCCAAATGGAGCACCACAACTCCCACACCACTTCTCATAAAATACTTGCTGTTGGAAATATTGATGATATTCTCCATGGATAAAATAAATATCTATGCAGATATTCATGCAAATTTCACAATAAGTTCATCATATTACTAAAATGAAGCAATACCAAAAAATCTAGACACCTACAGTTTCTCAAAATAAGGTATGAAAGTCATTAACATGAGAATTGCAAGATGAAAGCTTGTGAATAAATTAAGAGCTACAATCAACTGCCAAAGAGTTCTGTAAATGGCTCATTATATACCCACATGAAAATAAAAAAAAAAAATTATTAATAGTAAGCTTATCTTCGAATTATAAATACAAAAATTAATCTTTCAATGATGTTTACAAGCAAATATAAAATCATAACAGATATATTGGATATATTGGAAAAGGCGTATGACAGGGTGGATAGGAGGGCAATGTGGCAGATGTTGCAAGTGTATGGTGTAGGAGGTAGGTTACTGAAAGCAGTGAAGAGTTTTTACGAGGATAGTGAGGCTCAAGTTAGAGTATGTAGGAAAGAGGGAAATTTTTTCCCAGTAAAAGTAGGCCTTAGACAAGGATGTGTGATGTCACCGTGGTTGTTTAATATATTTATAGATGGGGTTGTAAGAGAAGTAAATGCGAGGGTCTTGGCAAGAGGCGTGGAGTTAAAAGATAAAGAATCACACACAAAGTGGGAGTTGTCACAGCTGCTCTTTGCTGATGACACTGTGCTCTTGGGAGATTCTGAAGAGAAGTTGCAGAGATTGGTGGATGAATTTGGTAGGGTGTGCAAAAGAAGAAAATTAAAAGTGAATACAGGAAAGAGTAAGGTTATGAGGATAACAAAAAGATTAGGTGATGAAAGATTGAATATCAGATTGGAGGGAGAGAGTATGGAGGAGGTGAACGTATTCAGATATTTGGGAGTGGACGTGTCAGCAGATGGGTCTATGAAAGATGAGGTGAATCATAGAATTGATGAGGGAAAAAGAGTGAGTGGTGCACTTAGGAGTCTGTGGAGACAAAGAACTTTGTCCTTGGAGGCAAAGAGGGAAATGTATGAGAGTATAGTTTTACCAACGCTCTTATATGGGTGTGAAGCATGGGTGATGATGTTGCAGCGAGGAGAAGGCTGGAGGCAGTGGAGATGTCATGTCTGAGGGCAAAGTGTGGTGTGAATATAATGCAGAGAATTCGTAGTTTGGAAGTTAGGAGGAGGTGCGGGATTACCAAAACTGTTGTCCAGAGGGCTGAGGAAGGGTTGTTGAGGTGGTTCGGACATGTAGAGAGAATGGAGCGAAACAGAATGACTTCAAGAGTGTATCAGTCTGTAGTGGAAGGAAGGCGGGGTAGGGGTCGGCCTAGGAAAGGTTGGAGGGAGGGGGTAAAGGAGGTTTTGTGTGCGAGGGGCTTGGACTTCCAGCAGGCATGCGTGAGCGTGTTTGATAGGAGTGAATGGAGACAAATGGTTTTTAATACTTGACGTGCTGTTGGAGTGTGAGCAAAGAAACATTTATGAAGGGATTCAGGGAAACCGGCAGGCCGGACTTGAGTCCTGGAGATGGGAAGTACAGTGCCTGCACTCTGAAGGAGGGGTGTTAATGTTGCAGTTTAAAAACTGTAGTGTAAAGCACCCTTCTGGCAAGACAGTGATGGAGTGAATGATGGTGAAAGTTTTTCTTTTTCGGGCCACCCTGCCTTGGTGGGAATCGGCCAGTGTGATAATGAAAAAAAAAATAAATAAATAATTTAGTTGTAGCTACAATTAATAATAATAAAGGTAAAGGTAGAAAGTTGAAAGTGAACATAGAAAAGAGTAAGGTGATGAGGGTGTCAAATGATTTAGATAAAGAAAAATTGGATATCAAATTGGGGAGGAGGAGTATGGAAGAAGTGAATGTTTTCAGATACTTGGGAGTTGACGTGTCGGCGGATGGATTTATGAAGGATGAGGTTAATCATAGAATTGATGAGGGAAAAAAGGTGAGTGGTGCGTTGAGGTATATGTGGAGTCAAAAAACGTTATCTATGGAGGCAAAGAAGGGAATGTATGAAAGTATAGTAGTACCAACACTCTTATATGGGTGTGAAGCTTGGGTGGTAAATGCAGCAGCGAGGAGACGGTTGGAGGCAGTGGAGATGTCCTGTTTAAGGGCAATGTGTGGTGTAAATATTATGCAGAAAATTCGGAGTGTGGAAATTAGGAGAAGGTGTGGAGTTAATAAAAGTATTAGTCAGAGGGCAGAAGAGGGGTTGTTGAGGTGGTTTGGTCATTTAGAGAGAATGGATCAAAGTAGAATGACATGGAAAGCATATAAATCTATAGGGGAAGGAAGGCGGGGTAGGGGTCGTCCTCGAAAGGGTTGGAGAGAGGGGGTAAAGGAGGTTTTGTGGGTAAGGGGCTTGGACTTCCAGCAAGCGTGCGTGAGCGTGTTAGATAGGAGTGAATGGAGACGAATGGTACTTGGGACCTGACGATCTGTTGGAGTGTGAGCAGGGTAATATTTAGTGAAGGGATTCAGGGAAACCGGTTATTTTCATATAGTCGGACTTGAGTCCTGGAAATGGGAAGTACAATGCCTGCACTTTAAAGGAGGGGTTTGGGATATTGGCAGTTTGGAGGGATATGTTGTGTATCTTTATATGTGTATGCTTCTAGACTGTTGTATTCTGAGCACCTCTGCAAAAACAGTGATAATGTGCGAGTGTGGTGAAAGTGTTGAATGATGATGAAAGTATTTTCTTTTTGGGGATTTTCTTTCTTTTTTGGGTCACCCTGCCTCGGTGGGAGACGGCCGACTTGTTGAAAAAAAAAAAAAAAAAAATAATAAGTTTATTTCTTTGTAAAGGTTACAATGTGTAATTACAATTTTGATTTGCTAAGTACAAAGATAGCCACTATCATGCCGAGGCATTTCGGGCAAACTAATCCTAATACATAGTAACTAATTAAAACTAGATAAGATAATAGTACATAGTAATTATTACTTAAAAGTAAACGTAGAATAGTGGTTAGCTGTTTTACAATCTTATTTGGTTATGAGGATAACAAAAAGATTAGGTGATGAAAGATGGGATATCAGACTGGAGGGAGAGAGTATGGAGGAGGTGAATGTATTCAGATATTTGGGAGTGGACGTGTCAGCGGATGGGTCTGTGAAAGATGAGGTGAATCATAACTGATGAGGGGAAAAGGGTGAGTGGTGCACTTAGGAATCTTTGGAGACAAAGAACTTTGTCCTTGGAGGCAAAGAGGGGAATGTATGAGAGTATAGTTTTACCAATGCTCTTATATGGGTGTGAAGCATGGGTGATGAATGTTGCAGCGAGGAGAAGGCTGGAGGCACGGAATGTACTCCGAGATGTACTCCTTCCCCTTGGAATAGCATATGGCACACTACCAGAGCGCATATATCGTCGTATATACTGACGCTTCACTGGGGAATATTCCACTTCACTATCACTACTGCAACTCTTTTCAAAAGCTTGTAGTTCATAATCACTTATCACTATCATCACAAATGCTCACATCTGAGTCTGGGATTTGGAAAAATAGGAGTTTCCTCTTTGATTCTGGTACAACTGAACGTGAACAAGACGGCCCAGCACCAGAGGTGGAAAGCTGAGGGTCGTCTGGGTTTTCCTCACTATTACCGATATCGATATTATGGTCATTAGTTTCGGTCAAAACCTCACCAAAACCTTGAAACTCATCTTCACTGGCACTTCCATCTGTATTATAACTGGGGAACAAAAGTGTCCCAATTTGCTGAGGAGTGAGGAACTTCTTACCGCGAGGCATGGTGGACATTGTGTACTAAGATGGCGTTCCCACAATGCACCACTGGGTCCCAGATTTTTTTCTACCGCGCAAACCAACCACACAAACCCATTCTCTCACATCTAGGCCTACCAGCCTTTTCCCGTGAGATTTGACGCCGCTAGAATTTATGCGTACTAGTACGTCAAAAACCCTTGGGCGTAAGCCGTACTAGTACGTCTGAAACCCTCAAATGGTTAAATTGGGGAGTAGGAGTATGGAAGAAGTGAATGTTTTCAGAAACTTGGGAGTTGACGTGTTGGCGGATGGATTTATGAAGGATGACGATAATCACAGAATTGATAAGTAAGTAAGTTTATTCTGGTATACACAAATACAGTTACATAGAATTATCATACGTAGCAGCATATGTGTAGAGAACCTAGGATAACCCAAAAAAGTCTGACAGAGTGACTTATTTCCATGGGGAAAAAAGATAAGATAAGATAAGATAAGATTTCGTTCGGATTTTTAACCCCGGAGGGTTAGCCACCCAGGATAACCCAAGAAAGTCAGTGCGTCATCGAGGACTGTCTAACTTATTTCCATTGGGGTCCTTAATCTTGTCCCCCAAGATGCGACCCACACCAGTCGACTAACACCCAGGTACCTATTTGCTGCTAGGTGAACAGGACAACAGGTGTAAGGAAACGTGTCGAAATGTTTCCACCCGCCGGGAATCGAACCCGGGCCCTCCGTGTGTGAAGCGGGAGCTTTAGCCACCAGGCAACCGGGTGAGTGGTGCGTTGAGGTATATGTGGAGACAAAACACAATGGGCTAGTAACCCCTTTTCCTGTAATAATTACTAAAAAGAATAAGAAGAAAAGTGTCAAGCTCTTTATATATTTTTTAACACATCGGCGATCTCCCACTGAGGTAGGGTGACCCGCAAAAGAAAAAAATGTTTTCACCATCATTCACTCCACCACTGTACTGCCAGAGGCATGCCGATACTACAGTTCAAAATTGCATATATCCCCACTCCTTCAGAATGCAGGAACTGTACTTCCCACCTTCAGGACTCAATTTCTTCATAATTGTTACCTTACTCACATTCCAACATCATTATTATTATTTTATTATTAACACACTGGCCGATTCCCACCAAGGCAGGGTGGCCCGAAAAAAGAAAAACTTTCACCATCATTCACTCCATCACTGTCTTGCCAGAACGGTGTTTTACACTACAGTTTTTAAACTGCAACATTAACACCCCTCCTTCAGAGTGCAGGCACTGTACTTCCCATCTCCAGGACTCGGGTCCGGCCTGCCGGTTTCCCTGAATCCCTTAATAAATGTTACTTTGCTCACACTCCAACAGCACGTCAAGTATTAAAAACCATTTGTCTCCATTCACTCCTATCAAACACGCTCACGCATGCCTGCTGGAAGTCCAAGCCCCTCGCACACAAAACCTCCTTTACCCCCTCCCTCCAACCTTTCCTAGGCCGACCCCTACCCCGCCTTCCTTCCACTACAGACTGATACACTCTTGAAGTCATTCTGTTTCGCTCCATTCTCTCTACATGTCCGAACCACCTCAACAACCCTTCCTCAGCCCTCTTGACAACAGTTTTGGTAATCCCGCACCTCCTCCTAACTTCCAAACTAGAAATTCTCTGCATTATATTCACACCACACATTGCCCTCAGACATGACATCTCCACTGCCTCCAGCCTTCTCCTCGCTGCAACATTCATCACCCACGCTTCACACCCATATAAGAGCGTTGGTAAAACTATACTCTCATACATTCCCCTCTTTGCCTCCAAGGACAAAGTTCTTTGTCTCCACAGACTCCTAAGTGCAATGCTCACCCTTTTCCCCTCATCAATTCTATGATTCACCTCATCTTTCATAGACCCATCTGCTGACACGTCCACTCCCAAATATCTGAATACATTCACCTCCTCCATACTCTTTCCCTCCAATCTGATATCCAATCTTTCATCACCTAATCTTTTTGTTATCCTCATAACATATCCAACATCATGTCAGTCATAAAAACCATTTGCCTACATTTACTCCTATCTAACATGCTCACACAAGATTCTAAGCCCCTTGCATACAAAACCTCCTTTGCCTCTTCCCTCCACCCTTTCCTAGAACAACCCCTACCCCACCTTCCCTCCACTACTGATTTATATGCCCTCCAAGTCATCCTATTCTGTTCCATCTTCTCTAAATGTTTGAACCACCCAAACAACCCCTCTTTGGCCCTCTGGCTAATACTTTAATGTAACCCTGCACTTCCTTCTTATCTTCAAGCTACAAATTCTCTGCATAATATTCACTCCATATATTTCCTTCAGAATGACATCTTCACTGCCTCCAGTCTCCTCACAGCCCATGCTTCGCACCCATATAAAAGTGTTGGTACCACTATACTCTTATACAGTTCCCTTTTTTTTTTTTTTTATTATCACACCGGCCGATTCCCACCAAGGCAGGGTGGCCCGAAAAAGAAAAACTTTCACCATCATTCACTCCATCACTGTCTTGCCAGAAGGGTGCTTTACACTACAGTTTTTAAACTGCAACATTAACACCCCTCCTTCAGAGTGCAGGCACTGTACTTCCCATCTCCAGGACTCAAGTCCCTTTTTGCCTCCATGGATAACATTCTTTGTTATCCACGGAAAACATTCTGATGCTTTGATGTAACATTCACCTTTTTCCCCTCGTCAATTCTATGGTTCACCTCGTCTTTCACAGACCCATCCGCTGACAAATCCACTCCCAAATATATGAGCACATTCACTTCCTCCATGCTCCTTCCCTCCAACCTGATATCCATTGTTTAGTTACCTAAATTTTTTGTTACCCTTATCACCTTGTGTTTTCATATATTCACTTTAAATTTCCTTCTTTTACATAACCTCCCAAATTCATCCACCAACCTTTGGAACTTCTCTTCAGAATCTCCCTTTTTTTTTTTTTTAACACGCTGGCCATCTCCCACCAATTGTAAGATACAGTGGGATCTCAGTTTTCGTCTTTAATTCGTTCCAGACAGTCTGACGAAGACCTAATTCAAAGAAAACTGAAGCAACATTTCCCATAAGAAATAATGTACTAAATCCAATTAATCCCTTCCAGACACCCAAAAATATTAAAAAAAAAATTCTTTTTATAGAGAATAACTATAGTTTTACATATAGAAAACAATGAGGAATAAATATAAAGCACTAATGAAATGGATAAATGAGCATTTAAATCACTTTTACCTTCATTGAAGACTCTTGCTGGCGTATGGAAGACGGCGAGGAGGGGAGAGGGAGGAAAGGTAATTTCTACCTCCATCACTACCACCCTCTACCACCATCACTACCACCCTCTACCCCCATCACTACCACCCTCTACCACCATCACTACCACCATTACAACCACTACCACCCTCTACCACCATTGAATTCTATTATGTTTCTCGCCTTCTTTATCAAAGGACTGGCACTCAGAACTTTCTTTGGCCTCATGGTGGCTTATTTAGCAGTCACACTCAATAAATAAGCACAAACAACAATGGATTATTACAAAATGTTTCATATGAATGCACAGGGTAATGTTCACTCGACAAGAAACAAAGCCAGACTGACTCCGAATGCGTGTGTGGGATGCTTTATGTGGGTGTGGGCAAACGGACATGTTCGGTACAGTGGACGAAAACCAAGGTGATGAATGAAAACTGGGACAATATTTTGACGAAAAAAGTCGTCGAAAACTGAATTCGATGAAAACCAGGGCAAACGAAAACCAAGGTTTCACTGTATATCTAGTACTTCTTTTCTTTCAACACACCGGCCGTATCCCACCGAAGCAGGGTGGCCCAAAAAGAAAAACAAAAGTTTATCTTTTTAACTTTAGTAATGTATAGGGGATAAGGGGTTACTAGCCCCTTGCTACAGGCATGTTAGTTGCCTCTTACAACACGTATAGCTTACAGAGGAAGAATTCTGTTCCACTTCCCCATGGAGAATATCTAGTACTATATTTGTTAATTATCTCGCTGCCCAGTCACAGATCAGTCTTCATAAACTGGAAAGGAACTATTATCTTACAGGAATAAGACCTATTAAAACACATGAAAGTAAAGCTAAGTCTATACCAAACATGAATAAAATTCTAAAGTCTCACTTTTCTTAAGTATCACTTCTCATCATCAAATGTTGAAGCGACATGTCTTTGTTCCTAACTAGGTACTACCAGACTGTTATTAAGATCTTTGTGTCACTGAAAGGTGCCAAGATTATTTCAAAATCTGTAACGGAAGAACTGGGAGGCTCAAAGACTGAACACTAAATCCCAAAAACAGGCCATGCACACTTTTCATCATCAATTTACACTTTGTTTCAACCACATTTGTTTCACTCAAATATTTGCACAAGCTACAAATACCAGGTTTGTATTTACCCTTGAAATTCAACACATAAATTGCAGAATAATATAAGAACACTCACCTGTTTTAGAATACTCTGTTCCCTAAGGAGCTTCTGCCGATCTCTATTAGGATTAGTGACTTCCAGAACTAGTGCTAATGGTTCACTTTTGTTTTGTTCATGCTCCTTCTCAGCAATAAAATATACAAGATCTAAGAGCAACAGCATTAGTGATCTGAAAATAAAAGCATAATTTCGTAAAGAAAATGTCAATATGAATGCAGTTTTATCTCCTGGTTTAAACATTGTAAATTACTCTACAAAGGGGGGTTTAACTTACAGGCAAGACCTACAGTCCTTATAAAAAACATTAATTCTTGAAGGCAATTCTAGGAATTTTGTATAAGTAATGTTTAATTTGTAATTAACTGGTATCTGGTAATTAATAATGTTTTTTCATTATATTACAAACTTGTAATATCATAATTTTTTACTCAGAAATGCTGATACAACACAATCTTATATTTCTATCTGGAATGGAAATCAACAGTAACCTCCTCCCTACTTTAAAAGGACAGAGAAGTATGAACTCATGAAAGGACGCAAAATTAATGTAAAAAATAAAGAGGGCATGAGTGACTAGAAACATTATAATAATAAATCTCACAAAAACGAAGATTTTTACAGCAGGTAAACACATTTAAAATTACTGTAAACATTTTATGATGAGGTAAAGAGAGTGGCATGGGAAAAAATAGTTAACAAATGAGGTTTTTACAAAGCAGAAGTGACATGACAGTGAAGTATTTGGAGAGTAAAAGAGAAGTTAGGACAGTGGTGATGAAGTGAGAAAGGAGAGCAAATGAGAGTGAGGGGAGGTTCTGTCAACAAATTTGGATGAGAATAAGAAAAAGTTTTGCAGTGAGATTAATAGGTAGAGAAAGTCTCAAGAACAAATGGATTCGACAGTTAAAAACTGAAGAGGGAAGTTATTAAATGGGAAGGCAGAGGTATTGGAAAATGGCGGGAATATTTTGAGGAACTGTTTAATGTTTATGAAGAAAGAAAGGTAAAGATTTCATGCTTTCGCCAGAGAGGTATACATCTTTTAGGAGTGACAAAGAGCCAGACAAGAGAATGGGGAAAGTGTGAGAGGCAGTGGGTAAAATAAAAGAGGGTAAAACAGCTAGGAATGATGGGATCAAGACAGAAATGTTAAAAGCAGGTGAGGATATAGTTCTGGAGTGGTTGGAGTGTATGTACACATGCATGCTCATGTGCACACACAGAGCGAGAGATAGTGTGTACAGTATATTATTTCTTACCTTCTCTCGGTTTGTATGATAGATCCTTTTTCTAATTTTTTTGCATGCTTCGCCAAAACTTCACTAGCATCATTAGCAAAATCCAGATCTCTCACTTCTTTGGCATGAACTGGAACCAGTGAAAATGCTTCCTTGTCTTCTTTGATTGGAGCACAACCGACCTAATTAAGGGATTATTTCATAAAGTATGAGTAGCTGAATATATTTTCATTAATTATATATTAAATATACTGTACTTTAATTTCATGAAGCACTTATATTAGCTATAATACAGTATACAAGATGTGATCTGAAACATATTAATAAGCCTATTGTGCTAAACACTACGGTATACCATACACTCTAATACAAAGAAAAGTATTGAATTATAGCATTAAAACACAGAACAGCTTATTTTGGCTTGCTTTATTACACTCCAGCAAATTCTTTACCTCATCCATCAGAGTACCATATCTAACTCCCCATGGCCTAAAATACCTCACAAGATACTCTCTCTAAATAAAGAAAAACTAACTCTTTTTTCAAAGTATATTTTACACCATTCTCTACCTTTGACATCACAGGCTTATCCTCCTCCTTGTCAATGGGTATGGATGTCGAGTGCACCCAGGTTGACGTGCACAAGTGTCGTAGCCTTACATAGGATGACTGTGGTACCATGGAATCGCCTCTTATAAGAGTGGTAGGCTCAAGTTCGAAGATAGATGCAATATCATTGCTTAATGGCACTGAAACAAGTTGGTACACAGGACCCCCATTAGGATCTGAAAATAATTAAGAACAATTAGATACATTACAGTAACTACCTCCCTCATGAAAAACTGTGACTGTTGTAAGTGCTGTACATACTAAATTTAAGCGAATACAAAAAAAAAAACAAAAAAATATTGGGAAGGACAATATACTATGGACTAAAGAGTTACAAGACGTTTAATTATAAAAAAAAGTATGAAGCTCAATGCAATATAGGAAGATTAAAAGTTATTTACATAGATTTATCAATTTACAATTTCTTTTCTACAATTTACAATCTACAACATATAAGCCAAGAGCAGCACATGGAGATAATTCTGCCACATTATATATATATATATTATATATATATATATAATATATATATATTATATATATATATATATATATATATATATATATATATATATATATATATATATATATATTATATATATATATATATATATATATATATATATATATATATATATATATATATATATATATATATATATATATATTATATATATATATATATATATATATATATATATATATATATATATTATATATATATATATATATATATATATATATATATATATATATATATATATATATATATATATTATAATATATATATTATATATATATATATATATATATATTTTTTTTTTTTTTTTTCAACGAGTCGGCCGTCTCCCACCGAGGCAGGGTGACCCAAAAAGAAAGAAAATCCCTAAAAAGAAAATACAGTGGACCCCCGCTTAACGATCACCTCCAAATGCGACCAATTATGTAAGTGTATTTATGTAAGTGCGTTTGTACGTGTATGTTTGGGGGTCTGAAATGGACTAATCTACTTCACAATATTCCTTATGGGAAAAAATTCGGTCAGTACTGGCACCTGAACATACTACTGGAATGAAAAAAGTTCGTTAACCGGGGGTCCACTGTACTTTCATCATCATTCAACACTTTCATCTCACTCACACATAATCACTGTTTTTGCAGTGGTGCTCAGAACACAACAGTTTAGAAGCATATACATATAAAGATACACAACATATCCCTCCAAACTGCTAATATTCCAAAACCCCTCCTTTAGAGTGCAGGCATTGTACTTCCCATTTCCAGGACTCAAGTAAAGCTATATAAAAATAACTGGTTTCCCTGAATCCCTTCATTAAATATTACCCTGCTCACACTCCAACAGATCGTCAGGTCCCAAATACCATTCGTCTCCATTCACTCCTATCGAACACGCTCATGCACGCCTGCTGGAAGTCCAAGCCCCTCGCCCACAAAACCTCCCTTACCTCTTCCTTCCAATCTTTTCGAGGACGACCCCTACCCCACCTTCCTTCTCCTACAGATTTAAATGCTCTCCATGTCATTCTACTTTGATCCATTCTCTCTAAATGACCAAACCACCTCAACAACCCTCTTCAGCCCTCTGACTAATACTTTTATTAACTCCACACCTTCTCCTAATTTCCACGCTCCGAATTTTCGGCATAATATTTACACCACACATTGCCCTTAGACAGGACATCTCCACTGCCTCCAACTGCCTCCTCGCTGTTGCATTCACAACCTAAGCTTCACACCCATATAAGAGTGTTGGTACTACTATACTTTCATACATTCCCTTCTTTGCCTCCATAGATAATGTTTTTTGACTCCACATATACCTCAACACACCACTTACCTTTTTTCCTTCATCAATTCTATGATTAACCTCATTCTTCGTAAATCCATCCGCCGACACGTCAACTCCCAAGTATCTGAAAACATTCACTTCTTCCATACTCCTCCTCCCCAATTTGACATCCAATTTTTCTTTATCTAAATCATTTGATACCCTCATCACCTTACTCTTTTCTATGTTCACTTTCAACTTTCTACCTTTACACACATTCCCAAACTCATCCACTAACCTTTGCAATTTTTCTTTAGAATCTCCCATAAGCACAGTATCATCAGCAAAAAGTAACTGTATCAATTCCCATTTTGTATTTGATTCCCCATAATTTAATCCCACCCCTTTCCTGAACACCCTAGCATTTACTTCCTTTACAACCCCATCTATAAATATATTAAATAACCATGGTGACATTACACATCCCTGTCTAAGACCTACTTTTACCGGGAAGTAGTCTCCCTCTCTTCTACACACCCTAACCTGAGCCTCACTATCCTCATAAAAACTCTTTACAGCATTTAGTAACTTACCACCTATTCCATATACTTGCAACATCTGCCACATTGCTCCCCTATCCACTCTATCATATGCCTTTTCTAAATCCATAAATGCAATAAAAACTTATCCACCTTTATCTAAATACTGTTCACATATATACTTCAATGTAAACACTTGATCTACACATCCCCTACCCACTCTGAAACCTCCTTGCTCACCCACAATCCTACATTCTGTCTTACCTCTAATTCTTTCAATAATATCCTTACCGTACACTTTTCCTGGTATACTCAATAAACTTATACCTCCATAATTTTTACAATCTCTTTTGTCCCCCTTCCCTTTATATAAAGGGACTATACATACTGTCTGCCAATCCCTAGGTACCTTCCCCTCTTTCATACATTTATTAAACAAATGTACCAACCACTCCAACACTATATCCATCGCTGCTTTTAACATTTCTGTCATTATCCCATCAGTTCCAGCTGCTTTACCCCCTTTCATTCTATGTAGTGCCTTACATACCTCCCCCACACTTACGTTCTGCTCTTCTTCACTCCTAAAAGATGGTATACCTCCCTGGCCAGTGCATGAAATTACAGCCTCCCTTTCTTCCTCAACATTTAAAAGTTCCTCAAAATATTCTCACCATCTACCTAATACCTCCCTCTCCCCATCTACTAACTCCCCTACTCTGTTTTTAACTGACAAATCCATACTTTCCCTAGGCTTTCTTAACTTGTTTAACTCACTCCAAAATTTTTTCTTGTTTTCATTAAAATTTCTTACCAGTGCCTCTCCCACTCTATCATCTGCTCTCCTTTTGCACTCTCTCACCACTCTCTTCACCTTTCTTTTACTCTCCATATACTCTGCTCTTCTTATAACACTTCTGCTTTGTAAAAACCTCTCATAAGCTAACTTTTTCTCTTTTATCACACCCTATACTTCATCATTCCACCAATCACTCCTCTTTCCTCCTGCCCCCACCCTCCTATAACCACAAACTTCTGCCCCACAATCTAATACTGTATTTTTAAAACTATTCCAACCCTCTTCAACCCCCCCACTACTCATCTTTGCACTAGCCCACCTTTCTGCCAATAGTCGCTTATATCTCACCCGAACTTCCTCCTCCCTTAGTTTATACACTTTCACCTCCCTCTTACTTGATGATTCCACCTTCCTCTTTTCCCATCTACCTCTTACTCTAACTGTAGCTATAACTAAATAATGATCCGATATATCAGTTGCCCCTCTATAAACATGTACATCCTGGAGCCTGCCCATCAACCTTTTATCCACCAATACATAATCTAATAAACTACTTTCATTACGTGCTACATCATACCTTGTATATTTATTTATCCTCTTTTTCATAAAATATGTATTACTTATTACCAAATTTCTTTCTACACATAGCTCAATTAAAGGCTCCCCATTTACATTTACCCCTGGCACCCCAAATTTACCTACTACTCCCTCCATAACATTTTTACCCACTTTAGCATTGAAATCCCCAACCACCATTACTCTCACACTTGATTCAAAACTCCCCACGCATTCACTCAACATTTCCCAAAATCTCTCTCTCTCCTCTACACTTCTCTCTTCTCCAGGTGCATACACGCTTATTATAACCCACTTTTCACATCCAATCTTTATTTTACTCCACATAATCCTTGAATTAATACATTTATAGTCCCTCTTTTCCTGCCATAGCTTATCCTTCAACATTATTGCTACTCCTTCTTTAGCTCTAACTCTATTTGAACCCCCTGACCTAATCCCATTTATTCCTCTCCACTGAAACTCTCCCACCCCCCTTTAGCTTTGTTTCACTTAAAGCCAGGACATCCAGCTTCTTCTCATTCATAACATCCACAATCATCTCTTTCTTATCATCTGCACAACATCCACGCACATTCAGACTTCCCACTTTGACAATTTTCTTCTTCTTATTCTTTTTAGTAATCTTTACAGGAAAAGGGGTTACTAGCCCATTGTTCCTGGCATTTTAGTTGACTTTTACAACACGCATGGCTTACGGAGGAAAGATTCTTATTCCACTTCCCCATGGATATAAAAAGGAAAATTAATAAGACCAAGAACTATTAAGATAAAATCAAAGAAAACTCAGATGAGTGTGTATAAATAAATGTGTACATGTATGTGTAGTGTGACCTAAGTGCAAGTAGAAGTAGCAAGACATGCCTGTAATCTTGCATATTTATGAGACAGACAAAAGACATCAGCAATCCTACCATCATGTAAAACAATCACAGGCTTTCGTTTTACACTCACTTGGCAGGATGGTAGTACCTCCCTGGGTGGTTGCTGTCTACCAACCTACTACCTACATATATATATATATATATATATATATACCTGCCTCGGTGGAGACGGCCGACTTGTTGAAAAAAAAAAAAAAAAAAATAATATATATATATATATATATATATATATATATATATATATATATTCATATAGTCGGACTTGAGTCCTGGAAATGGGAAGTACAATGCCTGCACTTTAAAGGAGGGGTTTGGGATATTGGCAGTTTGGAGGGATATGTTGTGTATCTTTATATGTGTATGCTTCTAGACTGTTGTATTCTGAGCACCTCTGCAAAAACAGTGATAATGTGCGAGTGTGGTGAAAGTGTTGAATGATGATGAAAGTATTTTCTTTTTGGGGATTTTCTTTCTTTTTTGGGTCACCCTGCCTCGGTGGGAGACGGCTGACTTGTTGAAAAAAAAAATATTATATATATATATATATATATATATATATATATATATATATATATATATATATATATAT